CTGCCAAATCTAATTCATGCTGCCTATATACTCCTGGGTATGAGTACATCCACTGGAGCATGGTAGACCTACCAGAGGAAATGTGCATTAAAAAAAATTATTTTATTTATTATTTTTCTTTTGTGTGTATGAGTGTAATGCCTGCATGTATGTAAGTGTGCTTGTGTTGTGCCCTGCCCATGGAGGCCAGAAAAGGTGTCAGATCCCGTGGAATTGGAGTTACAGACAGTTGTTAGCTGTCATGTGGGTGTTGGGATTCAAACCCAGGTCCTCTGCGAGAGCAGCAATGCTCTTAATCACTGACATGTCTCCAGCCTCAGAATTGTGCATTCTTAATGATCCCTCTGTATAAAAGAGGTTCCATGATCAACATTACCTTCACAGAATCTCATAATGTATTTTAGTCTATTTAATATGCTGATAAATTACAAGGTGTTTCTCACATTTACTTGAAATGAGACATTTTATACAGATACACACATATGTCACATAATGTTTATAAACACCCATGCTAACATGTTAACAACCAACAGTCTATGCCAAGGTCATCAAGCATTAAGAGATGGGTAATAAGTGTGTTAGACTTCTCAAGTGGTCTCTGTTAGAATTGTTCAATTCTACTCCACAATTCAAAAGCAGTTGCAGACACCATGTTACAAATGGGCTGAAATGAAGTTCATTGACCCTGACCCTTGGTCTGCAGGCATAGAATTTCTAGTTTATAGAAAGGCTTTCACCTTTTAAAAAATATTTTATTTATTATTTTTATTTTATGTGTATGAGCATTATGCCTGCATGTAGGTAAGTGCACCATGTTGTGCAATACCCACGGAAGGCTTCCACTTTTCATATTCAAGTCTCACAACATGCCTGTGAGGTAACCACAGACAACTGCTGTGCAAGGTGGGAAAGTAAAATGATGAGCTGTCTAGCTGGTGGACTTGGGGAGGGGGGATCTAAGTGCAACCTCTTGCTTGTAAGGTAGAGGAACATTGAAAACCCAAGAGAGAATTGAGAATGTGGCAAAGAAGTAGAACACAGATAAATAGCTAATTCTAACAAAAGCCCATAGTCAAAGACAAAACTTCTGTTCACTTTGAAGAAGTGGCCAGTAAGTGGAGACCAGAGCTCCAGGGCGTGCATTATGGTAAGAAGCATCTAAATGCTGAGTTCGTATGACCATCTCCTTTCTCCCTCTAGGAGATATCAGGTATGACGAGGCCATGGGTTACCCCATGGTACAGCAGTGGCGTGTCCGGAGCAACCTCTACCGTGTGAAGCTTAGCACCATCACCCTTTCAGCAGGTGAGGACCGCTGCCCGGCCGGCAACCAAGGGACTTCAAGTCATTCAGCACATGGTATCAAGGGCTTATAATATCCTAAGCCTTGGTTGGCACTGGAGATGCTGAGGAGGTAAAGGAATATCTAGGGAGAGGAGCCAAGCTGCCAGTGACATGCCAACACTGCTGTAGGGACAGCACAGGAATGGGATACATGTGACACAGAAGGAGCTTCTTGGGGAAGGGATATCTGAGCAGGATGAGGGAGGATGGACAACAGAGAAAGGGAAAACAACAACCTACATCATGGATCTATTCTAGAAGTGTTTCTGGCTTGTGGATTTTATCTTCTTCTCTGCTCCAAGTCCTGGCCTGCATCCACAAAACAACAACATGTATCCCTACTCCTCCCCACCCTGTGTACATGCATACTTTATCCATATGAGTCCTGAGCTTCAGAGCAGAGAGAACACTTTATAGTTCTTGAGAATGGATGTGTTTGTTCATACATATATGACATTGCGCTTGATGTGCTGTCTGCCAAGCTCTCCCTACCTGGGGAACTCACGCTGAACTCCTCTTTGACACCTTCTTCACTCTCCATTCCTCAATAAACAACTCAAAGAATTCCGGGTGCTGGAATACCTCTAGCAAAGCACTAACAAAGTGTTCAATTCATGCTTGAATCCTGTCTCCCCATCTGACCTGAGAACAAGTGACATGCCCTGAGATTTGCTTATTCTGACATCCAGAAACTCACGTAGAATCAGCACGTTGTTAGCGCTCATGCTTGATGGAAGAACCAAAAATAAATAAATGAAAACTGGAGAACAAGATATTCAGTAGAGGTCTCTGCAAAGACAAGTCTGGATCCGGGGTTTTCTATTCTGATCCTTACCACACTGTCACTGGCTTACCGTTAGTGTGTCCCCTAATTATCTCTGAGTTCTTATCTTCTTATTCCTTTTTTCAATATCACTTTGTTCATCAACAAAATGGAGCTCTTTCGACCTGGGGATGGGACGGTTTTACCCTTCGGGAAGTACAAACAGTAATTGTTTCTGACATCTGTCAAGCGCGTTATAATGTTTCACATCTTATGACTTGCAGCAGTCCTACAAGGAAAGCAATATTTAGCCTAATTTTCATCAGATAAAGAAACTGAAGGACAGAGAGGTTAAATAACCAACCCAAGGTCATACAGCTAGTTAGTGCCAGAAGAGAAAACAGAGCAGGGATTTGATTGCATTTTTTGTCTGTCCAGATAAAGAGCCACAGGGCATCTCCAAGGTATTGCCATTTATTACTTAACAGAAAGCATCTCATTATTAATCTTGCTGTATTAATTACCCAGTTGCATGAGTTAACAGGTTGATGGAGGGAGGTGGTTTTAATCAAGCACTCTTTCTTTGAGCCCTATTTCTGTTTCCCCACCACCGCCTCACCCTGCACTTGTGAATATAACTGTGATGTTCCTGTTAGAACTACAAAGGTGTACCTGCTTTAATTAATCAGTAATGGTGTTCCTGGAAGCTCCTTGTAAATCAAATGTTGGCAAATTGGAGCTCATTTTCGATGCTGGAAAGGTGCTTCATCTTTGATGTGGCATGGCAGTGGCTGTTATAATAATCATGGCTGGTTGTTTGCTATGTTCCAAAAGTAGGTGGTGTGCCTGGCTGGAGTGTGTGTCGGGAAGATGCATTTGCAGATTTAGAGACAGATGAGGAGGGCTTCTGTCTGTAAAAGTCACAAGTGTTCAAAGTGCGGAGAGCAGGTGTTCCAGACAGGACCATGTGGAAGATTCCTTGGGGAAGGGATCACTTCACCAGGACTTAAAGCATGAATGTATACTGGGAGGGAGGCAATTTCAGGTATGGGGGCAGAACAGGCTTGAGGGGCAGTGAGCATGTAAAGGAAGAAAGGATGAGGGAATGCCAGGTCCTTCTGAGGGCAAACAAGGAACTGGGTTTGACTAGAAGGAAATCCTGGTGTGTACAGCTTATGAAAGATGGTTTGGGCATTCCTGAAGTCCCAACTAAGGTCAGGGCTTTGACCAGTGACAGGCAGGAGCTCAGGAAAGGCTCTAAGGATGGGAGAAGTAGGTAATTTTAGAGGAATAATAGTGGACACACAGGAGAAGGAATGATGACTATGACCCCTGGGCCACATTTGCTTAGGCTTTGTCCTCCGTCCTCCTGCAGTATGCATCAGTCACTCCCAGTTGGTGGGATATCTGGGGAGAGAACTGTCAACAACTGCACATGTTCTAGGAGATCCAGCTTGTTGTTTGTGAGCCTTTAATGGCTTTGCCAGATCTCTAGCCCAGATTCAACTATTAAGGTAGATGGGGGACCTCGGAGAGCCCTTCCCTGCGTTTGCTGTTCTCCAAATGATCTAAGTTTGAAAATCAAAGCAGAATCTTTTGGGATATCATTGCCCTGCCTGAAACTTCTCTAGGACTTTCTCATACCAAAGCTGAGTTGGTGGATTTGGAGAGAAGAATGAGCTGAGTAACTGAATACTGAAGGGACTGAATGGGACTAGACTCCCATTGCTAGAAGGTCCTAGAAGGAGCTCAGCTTGAGGAGAGGGAGGGAAGGAGGAAAAGCTGCTGCTGAGGGATGGCTCTGCAGGTCTCGTGTTAGGTTCAGAGGACTCCGGCATACAGCAAGAATCAGGAAAATTCCACGGCAATCTAGGAAGACAAAATATTTCACTGTCTTAGGGAAGTGAGGGCAGGGCTAGAAAGAGAGACGATGTTTCAGGAAACTACAACAGGCAAGGCGTGTGTATTGAGCTAGAACACATACAGCCCCGGGACTAGTAGTTTACTCAACACATGCACTTTGGAAGAAAAAACAAAAGTGTGTTTGAATCCAGCTCTTTTTAGCTAGAGGATCAAGACATATTATTTACAGTCTTTCAGGTTTGACTTCTCATTAGGTTAACAGGGGTGTTGGTGCTCAACCCTGCCGTGTTTGGACGAAGGTCAAAGTAGATAAAGAGAGTTAAAATCAGCTGGTGGTATGCTCTATTTGATATACATTAGATATGAAGTCAGTAGACAACAGCTTTGGCTTTCTGACTGTGCCCTTAAAGTCACCATTATGTAGGTAAGCAAGTTTGGGTCCTCCTCTTCTGCAGACCCTCTAGGTTATAGCACACTCACACACACACACACACACACACACACACACACACACACACGGGGGGGGGAGAGATTCTCTGCTATATGCATATACAGATGGAGCTGTCAGCACTCTGCCAATGAGGTCTGGAGGATGGTTCCAGATCCTACTGGAAAGAGCTCTTACTAGACTATGATTTTCTGGCCACCAGCTTCTGAAGTCTAACCACCCACACATGCTCCTTTCCCATCCAGGCTTCACAAACGTCCTCAAGATCCTGACCAAAGACAGCAGTCGGGATGAGCTGCTGTCCTTCATCCAGCACTATGGCTCCCACTACATTGCAGAAGCCCTGTATGGCTCTGAGCTCACCTGCATCATCCACTTCCCCAGCAAGAAAGTCCAACAGCAGCTGTGGCTCCAGTATCAGAAAGGTAAGCCTGGAGGGCTTGATGGAGGTGGTGGCCAGGTGCAGGGCAGAGGAAATGTAACCAAGGAAGCAGCTAACACTCATCAGATCTAAACACTGGTTCCTACTGCCTATAGGCTGTGGGCTTTGGCAATTCCCTGACCCTCTCTGGGCTGCACTTTACCTGACAGAAGGAGGGAGCATGGTTTCTTAGGATTATTTTGGGTCAGGCATTTTGGCTTTTGTCTTGTACTGCAGGTTTTCTTTACCACTCTGTCCTCCTGAAACCGTTGCCAGGGATCAGTGCTGTCTTTATGGCACTTTCTCTTTAGGCTTCTCTAGAAAATACTCCAGGAAGCGCTCTCATGCCTAAAGGGACAGTTTCAAGTCTCCTCACAGAGGGGCTACTATCCTCATCGAGGGTCACCACTGCATCTTATTTCCTATCAACAGATTTGGAATTCCCCAGCCCCAGGTGGCCTAGTGCAGAAGGCCAGTCTCTGCCCTTGACCTTTCAAAGGTTTCCCTTCCTATGAAATGTGCACTAACAAAGCTATTCTTATCTACTTACCACATATAAAGGGGAAGGCAATTTATAGACTAGCATTTTGACACAGTTAGAAATATTACACACACATACATATTTATTTTCGTGTGTGTGTCGTGTGTGCGTGTGCATGTATGTGGAGACCCACGGCTGACACAGGGAGTCTTCCTCTATCACTTTCCTCATTTTTCATGAAGGCAGGATCTCAGCTGAACTCAGAGTTCACCCATATAGCCAATCCAGTAATCTTTTTACTCAGGAATCACCTGTTTCTACCTTCCAAGTACTAGAATGGCAAGCAGGCCACTATGCCCACCCACTATTCATGTGGGTGCTAGTGATCCAAATTCCAGTCCCCATGCTTCCTGTTTGTACAGCAAGTGCTTTGACCACTGAGCTATTTCCCAGCCTGTATGTATGTATTTTAATGGGCAAGTATATTCACACCTCCATTTCATACTTGAGAAACTGAGTCTCAGTCAAATGTCCATAGACACACAGCTAATGAATAACAGGGCCAGAGTTGAAAATCCACAGCTACTAAAGCCCATGTTCTTTCCTTTCAACCACACTAAGCTGCTTCTTGCTGTAGGTAACACTATTAACATTGTTTAATTGTAAAAGAAAGGTTCTCAATTGATGCAAAGGGTAAGGAGTGATAATACAAATCTTTCATCTTCTTCATGGGGCTCAAACCCCCTAGCTCCAAGAACTATATAAATCTTAATTCCAAATCATAGAATATGGGAACCATGGGGCCCTTAAAGTTTTCACTGAGCTTAGCACCCCAGTTTGGCCATTGGGAAATTGAAGTCGATGGGAGAAGGAAGCATGTTCCAAGTCACATAGCTCCAGTGTCAGGGCCAAAGCAGAATGAAGCTGTCTCACAGCATCTTTTAGTGCTTGTCAGCTCCTGACTATGCTTGATGGGATGGAGCCCCTGTACCTACCTTTGGCATCACCAGAACCTTTCCTTTGCCTCTGGGGGCTTTGTATCCCAAGCTGCTCTCACCCCTGCCTGCTTTCTGTGTAACTGTGCAGGGCATGGGTGGTTTATAGGCTCAGAAGACATAATTGAGTTGTCTGGGAATAGCTCGGTTTTATGGTTGTGACAATGACAGTCTTTAAGGAAGTGCATTAAATCAATAGAAGTCTCATTGCACCACCCTATAAATAATGTGACACATCATTAAGCAGGGCAATAAGCTTCAGGACTTTGAAGTAATACAATTAGGTTATGTTTATAAAAACCTTGCTCACTGTGGCTACTGAACTAATTTGCTTCGTGCCACATTCAGGGCCTGCAACACGACTGTGATGCTAAATGTCACTCCATCTCCATCCTTGGTTGCTTTCAAGACTTGCACTTTCTTGATGCCAAAAATCCTATTCTTTGTAATACAAATGGAATTTATAACAAGAAAGATGGGCGATGGGGACAGAAAGAAGGCTGAAACTACAACTGGGGTCTTTCCTACAAGGCCTTGTTTGCTAAAACTTTCTCGCTGAGCTTGGTGTTGTAGCTTTTGCTCTCTCACCTTGATTCTGCAGATGCTTTAATCCCTTCCCAGATCCACATTTGCTCCAAGAGGACCACATGGATACACTGAGACCAGTCTAGGTGTTCTGTGTTTCTCTCCACCTCTGTCTGCTATGACCCACCTAAAGGGCACACCAAGCAGTCTAGGTTTATTTATGTTTATGACTAATACCAGGGAGTGGCAAAATTAAAAGCAGTAACGCTAGGAATTTACCTCAATTTTGGTGGAACCCTTTAGATGCAGAGACAATTGTCACTTTTCTTCCAAGCTATCAGTCGTAGAACATTGACATGTGCTAAACACTGGAACCCAAGCAAGGATGAATCTGGGGTTGGGGGATGAAAACTCTTGGGGCAGAGTTTGTGGGCAGACGAGCTCAGGCAGCATTAGAGTGGGACAGGTGATATTTTACTTCCGGATTCCTCTTCTTATAGACCTATGGGTGACCTCTTGCCAAGTATGTCCTAACTCTCAGATTCCTTATGTAAAATGAGGGATAGAAATTCTGTTTTATAACATTTGGGAGAATGAGGTGAAGTGACACAGATAAAATGCCTGATACTTAGTAGGTACGTGAAAAAGAGTAGTTTGAAATAAAATGAAAATTGTAGACATCAGCTGGATTCTAGTCCTGGATCCAGCCCTGGCTCACGTGCCATTTCAACTTCCATTTCTCCCTGTGACATGTGCCACTGGAAAAGGGCACATTTGCAAATGTCTCTTCAACAGAGCAGGAGTGGGTGACTTTGCCTGGCCTAGAAAGTCTAAGCTAAAAGGGTTGATGAAGGAAAAGATCAAGCAGGGCCAGGAACACAGCCATGAACATTTTCACAGTCCTTTGCTGTTTCAGGTGGTCGTCATGTGATCACCTCATCACATCAAGCGCAGAGAGTGAGAGCGCTCATAGCTCCCTTTGCAGAAGGAAGACAGAAAGCTTGGGGGAGGAAGTGGTTTCTCTAGACCATACTCCAGTTACCGCACTACAGATTGAACCCCAACCTGAGCCTACGGCTGTCTTCCCTAGAGTCAGCATCCCTGGACACTAGAAACAAATATCCCAGCCGTTGCCAGGAGAAGTAATGCTAGATCCCTGATCACTATTATGATCTAGGAGAGTCATGTAAATTACACGGTTGAAGGTGCCAGATTCAAATACTTTCTAAGAAAGGTTTTACTCTCATTCTTTTAAGTGCTTCTAAGTATGCATTTGCACATGAAAACTGCTCCAATTTTATCCTTCCTCAGTTCTTTGGTTAAATTCCTCATATACTCCTATTCCAGGTGGCTGGGCACCTCAGTAAACAGGTGCAGGTTCTGTCCCTATTGTTTGTTATCAGCATGCTTTAATCTTTCAATACTTGATCATTTTGTTTTAAAAAATATTTTATTTATTAATTTTTTATGTGTACGAGTGTATGGCCTGCATGTGTGTAAGTGCACCCACGTGATGCAATGTCTGCAGAGGGCGGACAGAAGAGGGCATTGGATCCCCTGGAACTGGAGTTAGCTGCCATGTGGGTGCTGGGAAATAAACTTCAGTCCTCTGCAAGAGTAGTCAGGGCTCTTACAACTGAGCCATCTTTCCAGCCACTTGGCGTGTTTTTGATCTATTAGTAGATAGCTAGGAAAAGGGCGGTGGCTAGCACATGATAGTGACACCCAGATTTTGACATCATGACCTATAGTCTTTATGTATTAATTCTGACCATTTGAGGAGTGACCATTGGGATTACTGAGGAAGAACTCTGGTCAGTTAGCAAGTCTCCTATAGATACAAAAAAGGGCCTGAGAACTTTCTTTTCTGTAAAACTAAAAGTTAGCATAGTAGTCCCTGTGTATGCCAAAGATGAGTGGAGAAAGATCCAAACAAGTAGAAAAAAGTTATTTATGACCAGATGGGGACTTTGGCTTCCTACCAGTCTAGAGGAGACTGGAGGAGTAGGCAGGTCAGTGAAGTGGAACCTAAACTAACACTAATCCAGGAAAAGGTGAGCCCTAGAAGCAACTGAGTATCTAAATTCATCCTTGGAGGCTCCAAATTCCAGGCAAGATTTGTACAGAAACTGCTCAGCCTGTCAGGTTCCAGTCATCATCACCTTTGTCCACATGCCTGTAGTATTTGCAGTACATATTACTGTGCCCTTTCTTGCCATTGGGGTCCACCTCATCCTTTGCCTTGCTACCTCCCTTGATGCTCTGCCTGTCTGTGATTTCATGCATGAGCCTTCAGGCATGGCTATATCTGTATAAAAAGTCAGTGGTGAATGATGTGTTCCTCGTTTAGAGATAAAACACAGGCTTCATAGTCAGATGGACTCTGGTTAAAATGCCAGCTATGTCTGTGGCCAGTTGTGTGTCACAAGAAAATTGACTCTCTGAGATCAGTTTCCACATTTATAAAACACAGGGTGATTGTATAGGGGGGCTAAGAAATAAGTCAAAGCTGAGTGTAGTGATGCATGCCTTTAATTCCAGCATTAGGTAAAGACAGACAGATTTCTGTGAGATCCAGGCCAACCTGGTCTGCATAGCCAGGCCAGGTGGGGCTACAGGGAGACTCTGTCTCAAAAAGACAAATTGAGAGGGCAGTTAAGCAGTTCAGCAGTTAAGAGCACTGGTTGCTCTTGCAAAGGACCCAGGTTTGATTTCCAGCACCCTCATGGCAGCTAACACCTGTCCGTAACTCCAGTTCTAGGGGACCCAATGTCCTCTTCTGACCTCTGTGGGCATTGCATGACATGGGTACACTAATATACATGCAGACAATATACTCATACATATAAATTAAAAGAAAAATAATAAATAAAATTTTTTTATGAAGACGAATAGCTTGGGAGGCAGAGGCAGGTGGATCCCTGTGAGATCAAGGCTAGCCTGGTCTACATAGTGAATTTCAGTCCAGCTGTGGCTGCAGGGAGACAAATAGACAAAAAAGAA